AAATCCTGTGATGGTGGAGGTACAATCATTTTATGGAGACACATATATGACTTGCTCAAGGTCACAGCAGTAGTTGGTCTTATAGCCAGGATTAGGATTCAGGTCTTAATTCCAGTCCCCACTCCTCTGCTCAGATAGCTGTGGCAGGCACTTCTGTGCAGCTTACAGACAACAGTTCTTTTGTACTCAGAATTACTGTTAGACATTATAAGAAATTAGGGGCATCATCTGGATTTATTTCTGCAGCAGCCAGCCCATATACAAACTTTATGAGTTCACACTCTTACACGACTATGGAATTTAGAGGAATTTAAACCATGTTTTTAGGCAGGAAAAAACCCCCAAACAAACCCAAACAATATCTATTATCCTAATGAACAGCAATTAAAACATCATTGGCAGTATTTCCTAGCTGCTGTGCAGACCTGCCATTTATCTATACAGGGCTCAAAAGAGCTTTACAAATTGAGGACAGCAGATCATGTTTAGGAAAAAGATTTTACAAAGCTCCTCCTGTTCAGATCTTCTTTCTAGCCACCTGAGTAATATTACTGGAAAGACTAAGAAGGTCAGAACAGCATTACAAGAGGCAGGAGAGAAAATGGGAATCTTGTTATATACACCTTCCTGCAAATTCTAACTGCAGCAACCTGGCTTTCAAATGAATTCTGCAACAAAATTCTTAATTGACTTTAAGCAGTGGAGGAATGCATTCACTGTCTTTTGCCATATGAATTTTCTCTGAGCTCAGCAAGGCTACTCAGAACAATCCCAGCTTGCAGGACTGTTTGTCTTAAAGAGATACCATGCTAAAAAAAATTGCATTTTATAGCTTTCATGGTGCATACATTGAATTGAACTTGACACCAAGTCACCAAAACAAGAAGTATTTTGTGACCTATTTTTCATGACTAACTTCATTGTAACATTTCTCCATACCGAAAACTAATGTTAAAAGCTTGAATTTGTGATTTTACACACACACACACACACACACACTTTTTAAAAAATTCAAAGAATACATACTTATAGTGCTTTTATGTTCCTTCCAGTTTTGGAAACTAGTGCTTTACTTTTCAACTCCAGATGGCACTGTGGTGCTTAACACTACCCAACTGGGGAAGAGGTGATGGATTGCAAAAGCATGCAAGCTCCTGAAAAACAATGGCTTTCTTGTTTTAAGAGAAATCAGCTGCCAATAGTTTTCCAGCGCAGATGTCCTATTTTGCTTTCAGTTCAGTGAAGACTGGGCTAACAAATGGCAGTTTATATGCCTGAGATACGACTTGTTGTGGAAGAAAGGGCTCGCTTGTCTGTACTCGCATAAGGTCATAAGGGTAGTAGCCCTTGCCTCCATCAGCAAAACCTAATGCAACACACACTATTGCAGAATGAAGGGAAAAGCTTTGCTGTTGCATAGCTCTTCCCATTCACAGTGACTAATTCTATCTCTGTACAATTGGCAATTCTGCTTATGAAAGTGTATTTTCAAGGATGGAGTGCAAACCACTGAAGTAATGAGGTTATCAGTAACTTTTATAGGGAAACCCATAGACTATACTGTTTGGAAGACATCCTTTGCCATTTCATTTTATAACTCAGACTATTACAAAAATGTCTACAATACATGATATTTTTCCTTCATGTTCATCCTTTGAAAAATTAGGAGTAGGATGTTCATTTATTTGCTGAATCATACACTCATACTCATCTATACCACATCTTTTCTTAAATATTATCTCTTCTTGAGATTCTGTCCCCTTTGTTTTTATAGTCTTCTCAACTCTTAATTTTGTAGAAGTCTGCCTGACACCTACATTCTCTTATAATCCTTCCTAGCTTATACTCAAATTCTCCAATTTTATATAATTTCTAAATACTTGTTACCTGACCTATAGACCCAGTCAAATTTCCCAGCTCCCACCACACAAACACTAAACCATTGCTCAACCCACTCTGAATAACATCACTCGTTCTGCTGTACATTTCATCCAACAGAATTTGCTCCACAGGCCCACAGATTTCCCATAGGCCATGATAAACCCTTCTGATTCCAAGCAAAACTCAAAGAGTTTACATGGGTTCATTTGCAGGCTGTTATATTTTTAACTCAAGTAAATCCTTTCCCACAAGGTAAGGAAGCAACTGAAGATACATAGAAAGGGCAGTCTGTTTGTCATACCTCCCCCAGCACAGATGACTATTTCATTACAAGAAGTTTCTGAAAGAAGAAGGGCTCAAAAGACAAAAAGGAATAAAAGTGAGAGAGATTACTGTTTTAAACAGACAGGACCTTAAAATAGGCTAGGTTCTCTCAAGCACCATATGGAACCCTTTTCCAAAGGTATCAAAAATGCACACACACCTGGCCCCCCCCCCCACCCCAGGGCATCCCCAAGTTCCCCTGAGATTTATGAAATATTAGTGTATTTGTCATGTTAGTTCTGGTAAATGAGTAGTCATAAAACCACACAAGGCAGAATGTCCTACATTACTAGACAATAATGATGCCTCTGAAGACTGAAAACTTGTACACCACCTGCTTTCATTCCACAGCTCTGTAGCTCTTAATTTTCTTCTCCATTCTCAAAGTTGCATAAGGATGGTGGTGGCTCCAGATAGCATTACAGAGCGCATAGCTGATATGTTATTGGCATATGTGACACAATAGATAAGCATTTCTTCTTTCAGAATGTGTTCATATCCATTCTAGGTCTTCTGAATAAAACTCAGAAAATGTCCTGAAATAATTTTTTAAAAATTCAAAATAAAATTTAATTTAAGAAAACTGTCCCCAAACAAAATATATACACATTATATTTACAATTTTGCTGCTGAATAGGTAATATTTACATTACATGTAACACAAAATCTTCCCCTTGCATTATTCACACTTAAACGTGCTCCACTCAGCCTTTAAACTGAAACCAGTGCAAGAGCAGACAAAGAAATTTCTGGGGAAAAAAAAAAAAAAATCTTTGGTGTATAACCATGGCACATATAATTAATTAAAAAAAAAAAAAAATCTAACCTAAGAGGAACAAATCAAAGCACTGGTGTGACATCTGCATTGGTGGTAGAAAGAATGTACATTTCCTGAAGAGGGACATGTAGAATGGTAAGAAACTTTATCAGGTACTAAGATGAACAGAGAGCTGGGTAAAAGCCAGATGACAACTGACAACAACAACAAACAGAGTTTGGCTCAGCAGACACCAGCATTTTCCTAGTGGGTATATTTCTGTTACCCTCTCTGCTGCAGCACAACTTCATTCCCTCTTAAACTCAAAGCAAAAGGTGAAGGGAGAAAACGAAAGCAGGACAGACCAGCAACCCTGAAGCTTTTCTAAAAGATCTACTGCTCTTTTCCTTTGCACTTCTTAACCTGCAGCCTGTTGCAATACTGTGTGCTGGTGTTGTGGGAAGAAGGTGAGCACTACAAAAAGCACCTTTGGCAACATACTGTTTTTAAAAAAGCTTTTGGGGGTGGAGTAACTCCCCAAATCTAATCATATAAAAAGCAAGCATGTTCTAGGTACTGTGTTGCCAAAGCTGTTGCTCAGCCAGTGAGCAACTGCACACCTACACTCAATTGTCTGGGCACTGATTCACCAGTAGCAAGGTGGATCACTCATGCACTTTCAAAACTACGTACTTGCTGGGCCAGCTGCAGTGTTAAACTGTCTCACGTACCTAAAGATGCTGCAATTTGGGGTTTTTTGCTTTCTCTACATGCTCAGAAAGATGTCAAATTAACACAAATGGCACATGAGTGGTGTCAGCCTCTGACCTATTAAAACAGAATCAGCAACCATTTGCTTTTCTGACTGAATAACTTACTGTGGCACAGGCAGTTGCATCAGACAAACACGTCTGATGTGTTCTATGGTCATAATCTTGACTTACTCTAAACCTGTTTGGGATTATCTTGAAGATGTTATTTGATGCATTTTGCAAAACACAGATAAGAAATTGCATCTAAGGAAAATGAAGAATGGTAGTAGTACCTGTAGATACTACAGCCTTCCAGAACTGAAGCAGGAGAATTATAAACATTGGATGGAATGTAATGGAAACTGGTCTGCACAGAAGCAGCAAGTTTGTGTCCTAATTACTGTCTTTCAGAAACCAATTCTGCCACTTCCTCTGTGGGCCACCTAGCCCTCTCTTTGCCTGCTAGGGGAAAAGGTGCAGAACTTCTATAAATGTTTCTTCACTAATTTAAGCCTAAACTTGTTTTGTTTGTTTGTTCAGTTGGGTTTTTTTAACAAGTACTTCTCTGTTGCTGAGCAGCCTCATACTTCCACTTTTTGCTTCCACTAAACCTGCTGCCAGATGAGAGCTGGGTGCAGGGGATGTCGCTTAACATTACATGCAGAAGCAGCAGTATCCCAGCTAACGACGTATGCTGGGGATCAGAGTCCTTTCACTCTCTTTTCAGCTTTAAGAACAAAGGAGCAGCATTTATGAGACTGCATAAAATTTCAAGCCAGTTAAAACTAGTTCTTGGAGATTACTCTAGAACAAGATATTTTATTATTTTAGATTGTTACGTAAACATTCTAGAAAAATGCAACTTTGTTTTCCCACTCTAGTTTTACTCTGCAATACTTGCCTTTTCTCTAATAATCTGTTTGCACATGTTCACTTCTCTCTGAAAATCTGTTCTTGCGGAAATATCAATTTTGGCTTTTACATTTTTCCACTGACTCTCTTCCTTCCTCTTAAGGGAACAATTCATCCTCCTCTTTCTGCCAAAACACAGTGATTGGTAGCAGTGCTGAATTTTTTTAGTGTACCTTTTTTGTTATAGCCATAGCTATGCAGCCAGATTTATAAAGCTATTGGGATAGTGACACAATCATATTTTTAATGGGAAAATATACAAGCTAACCAGAGGTTTTATGGCTCACCACATTAAATAGCCAAACTTATGAAGTCTCCCATTTTAACTCATCCTAAAACTGTCTACACTCGCCACTAATGCAAGTTTTTGTTACCTATTACTTTCTTTATCACTATGAAAATAGTGTCTTTGGAGCTTGCTGGCAGAGATCATTCTTAGAAAATGATCGTCATGTTGTCAGTATTTCTTCAGATCTGGGCTGACGTTTCAAACATCCCATCCCATTTTCTGGAACAAGCAGACCACACCATTTTCCAAAATTAATCCAAAGATGATGGCCAACCAAGGGAGCATTCGGTTCGAGTTCAATGTAACTGCAAAAGAAAAAATAACTAATTTATCACCATTTAATAAGATCATAGAAACCCTGTGAGAATTCATATTAATTTGTATGTACAAGAAATCACACAAATCTGTTAAAAGTCTGCATTCCAAAGCCATGCAAAACATTAACATGAAATTTTCATCTTCCAGACACACAAAGAATTCTACTTTATGTTTCAATGATCCACAATGACTTGTCTCAAATTCTAACTGATGAATCTGATAGATGTAATACAGGATATTGAAAGAGACGATGGCGAGATAAGAGGTGCTTTTTCTTTTTTTAATAGTGTTTTGTTTCATTCACTTTCTATTAAAGTCTAAGTGACAGTTTTAAGCTAGAGCTATTTCAGTCACATATTTGATACCAACTAAAAAATACAATGCAATAATAATGACAGCTGCATTCTCTCACATGCATTCTATACAAATAATGTAGCAATAAAAAAGCAAAAACATACCTCTAATTGCCTGAGAGTTTGATATCAAGACAAACACTTTTATAAATGCAAGGCACAAAGGTGTGTAGTCATGTTCCCAAATAACAGCTGGAATTAGCAAAAGCTTTCCATAGCTGGACAACAGCAATGCTTTGAGAAGTAAAATGAAGTCAGACTTTGTTTTCAGCATCTTAGGTCTCATCCACCATAACGTAATAAAAATGCCAAGCAAAAATGAAGTTTGTTCTGAAAGGAAATAAGGAGTTGTAAAGAGAGAATGAAGTACCAAAATCAAGTCCTTTTTTCAATGAATTTCAGTGACATTATATGTCTCAAATGCAACTGAGCCACTGCTATTTAAAAGGCATGCAAACATGAACACGTCCTCCATCTCCTGTGTTCATTCAAAATAAATCTATCACAGAATTCTGTACGTCGGACTGTCATACTCATCATTTCTGACATTGTACAGCACGAAGTTTAGCATGTGAACTTCCTTTGCTTTTCCTTTTTAACAAAAGGAGAGGGGTTTTTTCAACTGTCTGTTAGCCTGTAAAACAATATCAATATTTGTCATTTTTTAAAGGGTCACCACCTTTCCATCCAGCATGAGAAAGAACACTAAGGTGAAAATATCATTGAGCTATTGGACTTTTTTTGACACCGTGTCCCTGCATAACACTGGTACTAATGCAGATGTCAAAGCAGCTCTCAAGACAACTGTAACAGATGAATTACTACTGAAAAATGAGTTCCAACATTTTTACTGATCTGTTATGAAAGCCTACTTAGAGCAACACTAGACAATAAATGACTGAAGTCAAACTCTGAATGTCTAAGAGAAATACTAGTTTTAGTCTGCAGGCTTGATTTCAACTCTATATGAGAATAAAAATATTAACCAAAATAAAAGAAAAACCCTGCCCTGCCTTCAAATTTAGTCTTGCAGCACAGAAGTATTTACTCTTTACCAGCAATGACACTGCTCTAGATCTTTCTGTATTCATGCAAAAAAAAAAGAAAAAACCCAACCCAACACATACAGCTTTTCCCTATTATTGTTTACTTCTGTAAGGATCATCCTTAATGTTGCATCACCTTAATGAATAAACAACCTTGGAGTCAACATGAAATATGGAATCAGGTTGAGCTCTACATTGGTCTTCAAAAATATGTAAATGGATTCAGATGGAGATTTCTGAATATTGCCACTTTTCAGTGTTTTGGTATCTAATGCTTATCATACCAGCCTGAACTGTAATCAGGACCAAAATATGCATTTGCATTAAATGAAGGCAAATGATTAAGTATGCATATAATTGTTTAACCATACTGGGTAGGACATGACATCCATTCTGTATCAATTTTTGCAATACAGGCTTGATAAAAGACTCAAAGTTATTCAGTGCTTAAAAAGTAAATAGTTATATGAACTAATCATTAATCTTACCTAAAGAAGCTATACCAAACATTCTATAAAAATCCCATTCCTTGGCATATCTGATTAAGTCATCAGGATCTATATTTTGGCTTGAATCCTGTAGTTGCAACCACCTGAGATAAGCTTCACAGAGCAAGCAAAATATGCAGAGCTTCCCATGAATCTGGTACATGAAAGGATATCAAAAGCATTAGTATTAAATCAGTATAAATTAAAGTATGAGTATTAAATTGGTATTTAAAATACATTTCTACATCTCCACACAAGCACGTTCTGTAAGTTTATTATTTTTGTTTAGAAACACAACCAAATTACTTCCATTGAGCCACTACTATAGCACATCATCCTTTTAACATAAATTCACATGATAAACAAATTAAAGAAGGTAGGAAACTGCATGAACAGTTTCATATATAAGAAAGCACATAAATGTAGTTTGCAAAGCCTAGTCTATACTTTTTTTTTTTTTAAATTAGAAAGGGTGTTTCAGTTAGGAATATAAAAACAAAATTGTGCCATAGCTAGCAGAACTATACTATAAAAATTTTTAGTTTCAGGGCAACTATTTGTTCAGTGAACTAGTTTAAATACCCTTGTTTCAGTTTTTCCCTGGGACAAACTCCATTAGAAGAAACTGGTAGTGTAGTTATACCAAAATAATTTCTTAGTTCGGATAAGGGTGAAGAACCAAAAATAAAAGGAGCAATGTAACTAAACACTTAAAAAGTATCCTCTGAAGTGACTGCAAAAATGATGTCATGAGGGTACACATTTAGCATGTTTCCACATGAAACAGTCTGTAAGCCAGTGTGTATGTGGTGTGACTTCTCATTTTATAGAGATTTAAATAAACCAGTGCAATATCTGTGCGTGGATTCTACTTTTTCCATTAGAAACTAGTTAAACCAATTGCATACACACGCACAGGCTAAACCAGTTTAAAATTCAACTCCATTTATTTGAGTAGATGAAATTTCAACAGGTAGAATAGTTCTTCCAGAAGCCTCACAGAAAACATCATTACCAGTCTCCAGAAGCACTAAATTAATTAAAAATCTTTAGTCAGATTTATGCTTGAAAGATGAGGTGAGTATATTTATCTACATTGCTTAATACTGAACTGGCCAAGACGTATCAACATGAACACAGTACGCACTTATGCTTGCATAGTTTGCTCTAGATTAGCTTCCCTCTCCTGGGAAATCCATCCTTAAAGGAAAAATATGCAACTCCGTCAACAAAAGCTACAGCTCGACACTCCAGCCTGGCCAGGGCAACTAAGCTGACTATGTAACTCTGAATCAACAATGCTTCCTGCAAAAGCTACCATCTTTTGCTATAGCTTTCAGGGCATGGTTAATTCCACAGGAAGAAACTAACGAGAAATTAGTGCAGTAGGTTTAATTGGCATAGTATAGTTAATATGGTATGTTATACTCATTTATATATATTATATATAACTCCTTTCGGAAAGAATTGTTTCCAACAGAAATTTAATTTGGAAATTAATTTGAAATTAAATCTTTCTCTTCCAGTGTAGTTTAAACACATCATCCTTTTAACATTAATTATCAAGACAGGCAATTTAGAGGGTATAGAAAACTGCCTTAACAGTTCCATACAGTTCTTTCTCTTCTCTTGAAGATGTGAGATGACTGCTGTATTGAGATTTCATGTGTTCTATTCATAATATAACTGGTTCAGCTTGCTTGAACCTGTGGAAGGGCAGGAGAAGAACAGGGTAGGGGGCATAGCAACTTACATTTATCTTTGTATTGAAAAGAATGTGCCTGTATGCTTGTGTTTTACATAAAACAGCATTAATCAAGATGATAACAGGATCATACTCAATGTACTTGTCCACAGGTTTCTGGCAGGATTTCTGAAAGTCACAAAATTACAATAATTAGGGGGGTGGGGAGGGGGTGGGGGAGAAATCAAGAGTTTATGAAACGTTCCTCTAATCTTAGCACAACTGCATAAATCAAAACTAGCTATTAAATTCTTATCAGTCTTCCCTCAAGGTAATCTTAATTTTCAATAGGTTTTTAATTCATCCAGAAAAATTGTTTCCCCTCCCTTGACATTAAAACTGACAGACACGCTTCCCTTATAAAGATACATAATTGATTTTTACAGGCTCCAGATTAACACAGATGATAAAACTATGCAAGGATGTACTTAGTTATGATTTTGTGCCCTATAGGTGCAAAAAAAATAAACTACCTTCCCAATACTCAAGAAATGTACCAGTATCTTGTTAAAGGTTAACTGACCATCACTCATCTACTGGGGTTTTTTGCTATTTTTTTGGAAAGAAAATTAATTTCTTCTATCACTTCCTTCTTTTCAGAGAAGCTTTATCCTCCCATCCTACCTTCTTCTTCCTTTCAAGAAGACAGTAGAGAGGCGGTAGAGAAGACAGTAGACTACTGGTGAATTGTCTGGATGTTTCAACCAATTTATCCATAACTGAACAAACACTGATACAGAATACTGAATTATTCAGAATACTGATAACGTAGTTTTCACACACAAATATAGCCAGAGTCAGAAGTTACTACTAAACAGTGCTAAGACAGTAGACTATTACTTCTCCAACACATCTGCTGGTTCCTGCTGTGCCTACTAGAGAGGTTATTTCACCCAAGACCACTGGGAATGGCTTGTCATCAACCCCCTTCAGATTGACTGATTTACTTGCACAGGTGAGGCAAGTCAATACATTTCTTACTCCTTGACTTGAGTTAAATGAGAGGGGCTAACAAAAGGCTATTATACAACAAAAGGCTATTGTACTAACTGTGAACAGGCCAGTTAAATAACAGCCTTACAAAAGGCTCATCTAGCAGACCTGAGGGGGAAAGAACTTCTAGTAGAAAGCTGAGGAGCAGCAGCAGTTGATCACAGCAACCCCTTCGGCTCCAACAAGCACACTTGCAAAGGGTGCTGGCCTGCAGGTCAGCTTCCTCCTGCTGTCAGTCCTCCAGTTCAGCTACTTGTTTCCTCCAACCCGTCCTCAGAGAATCCCGCTGCCCTGGGCCTTCACCTTGGCTGCCACGCTCAGAGCACAACCATCACAGAAACGATCTGTGTCCATTCTCATGAGTGCACGGCTGCGCATTGCCACAAGAGAAATCCATGCTCACAGCTTCCTGAAATGCTGTGACAGTCAAAAAATGCAGCATTAGACAACACAGACAAAGTCCCAGGAAAGAACAAAAAGTTTTTTTCAATTTTATAAGGATTCCTTGTGTTTAAAGCTAACTTTGCCTTGCTATTTACCAGAATTATTATTGGAGAATTTGAGAATGCAAAATTTCACTAGCAAATTGACTCAAAAGTCCAATCTCAGATCAAGAAAAATATACAAACAAATGCATAAGTTAAATAGAGCGTCTAAGGAATGTTGCTACCACTAGTCAGCGTTTCTCAGTCCAGCTCAATAAAAAAACCCAACAAACTCATTGGGATTAGAAAAAAAAATACTGTGTATGATAGTAAACAAGCTAGAGGTAACGAACTCAAAAATTGACTCCATTAGCCAACAGTTTGATAGGTCTAAAATTAAAGTGAGGATGGAAGAAAGGACATAATTAAGAGCAGACCACAGCTACAGGATTTAATAGAGTGAAAAAGAAATTGCAACTGTAATTAAAGGCACTGTCTTGCTTCATTTCTTTCTACAGGGAAATCGTGAACAGGTATTCTTATAGGTGGTAATTTATGTATGTCAAATCTCTGGGTTGATGTAGCACAGGAAAACTCCAATTTTTTTATAGGCTTATTCACGCAAGCACTGGACAAGCACATACAAAAGAAGATTATTCTTGAACACAAGAGGTTAGATGAAGGATATCCTACATACCCCAGGATTTATTATGCTCTCAAATTTTCCTACAACAGAACATTTTTTGACCAGGTTCAAAAATCTTTCTAAGAGGAGTAAAGAGTCCCAACCAAACACCGGTGAAAAAACTTGCAGTTAAGAGGTACTGAAAAACTTTCACTGACAGCTGACATGAATTTTAGACAAGTAAAATATATCAGACCAACCCCCCAGGCAAAACCAATACAGAAATTCTACTGCAGATATGTAAGACTGCTACAAATGAATACATTGATAGTGGTGTTACCCATAAGAACGGGTCTGCTCCACAGCTTCTGGCAGCCACAATCAAATCTACTGCAGCTGTGAGAATGATATTTAATTCAGTATTTCAGCATACCACTGCCAAACATTTAAGGATCCTATTTCTCTTGTGTTGCTTCATCAGGAAAAGAAAATCTGCTGTATTGCAAAAGACCAGCCATTTTCAAGGACCCTTCATGCCCACAGACACACACATTCATGTCTGCCTGTCTTCTGGCACTAGCTGAGCCCTATTCTCAATATACCTTCGTTATATCTGAGTCTCAACTGTACGAAGGAAAAGTCCTTTGTGCGTATCCAGCCAGTGACCTTGCCAGCGTGAGCTCATTCAGGGGCTTGTGAGACCTACAAACCACCTTACTGCAAAAGACTCGTGTGCACTGCCACAGACTCGTTGGACAAAATGAAGATGACACTTCCTACACCATGAGAACCTTACAGAATTAACAGACCCTCTAGGATGAAATTTTCTCCAGATGTGGATTTTTTCTTATTTTTTTCCAGCTATACTACTAAATCATCTGACACAAACCTTAGATGCCTAGGAAGGAAGCTTCTGACTAGAGCTTGACACCAGCAAAATCAGTGCAAGCAAGGGTTAATGCAGTTTAAGTATACATGGTTTAACTAGATAGCTTTATCTAGTTAAGTGGTGTAACTTTACAGACATTGACAATCACTGACCATTTCAGAGCAGCTGAGCTGTAGGGAACCTCTCACAGGCTTACTTTTAAGATGTCAGTCACGCAGTTCAGAGTGAACTACAACACTGGTGCTCACACCTCACTGCCAGTGGCAGGTCTGCACAACGGAAAAAAAAAGGACTGCAGGAGGCACGTCTTTAACTAAACCGAGCTTTTTCCATCTTCTTTGGGCTTCTTCGAAGAAATGCCTCAGTTATCATAACCAGTTCTAAAATTATAGAAAGAACTAACTGGATTTCTCTATGTTTTTAACCAGTTTTGAATTTCTTCCTTAAATACGTAACTGACATCAGAAACAGGAAATAATCGGCAACTTTCCTTGAAAAAACAGACATTACTTTGATTAAAAAGTACTTTCAGATTATGTTGCAGAAGAGAAAGGTCAAGCTTGACCACCATAAATTCTATTTGCAAATCTTCTAAATTGGGAAATCTCAGGAAAATTACAAATGTGTGATAGTGACACATAGAAGTCCAAAAGATACTGTAAAAATAAAAAAAATACCCTAAAAAGGGTGTTGAATGTATTTCACTATTCTAATGAATTTAAATGGATATTAGTCTAGGAACTATTTAATTGATTAAAGTTAATTAATCAAATATTCCTAAATATGACTATGCTTTTCTGTTGTTTCAAAAAAAAAAAACGCTTCCATTTTCATAACTTAGCAATTTTATTATCTTAATTTTTTTTTTTTTTAAATAAGCAAAGGCAAGTTTAAGAAAAAACTAAATCTTCAAAAACTATTACAGCCACGTTCTTCATAGTGTAGCATATTAGATTCTTTCTGCTCAAAGCAATCCAAAACAGTTAAGGAAAGTACCATATGTTTTAACATCTCGGTTGTATTACATAGGACAAAAGTAGTGCTGAGATGATGTCTGCATGTTTATCAGCCTTTTATAAAACACTACTCAAAAGACACTTCCTCTTCTTTGTTCATCAAAGATACTCAACTCCAAACAAAATTCACAAACAATACAGTGTACAAACACGTGAGGAAATACCTGCTAACACTGAAGGGCAAAGTTCCTAAAGTATACCAACGTGGCTTTTTTAGAATGGTTTCTCCAACATTGAAACGTAAGTGAATTTCTAAGTAAAAGTATTTTGGGATAGAGGTGGTGGAAGGGGAAAAGTGTTCTTGAAGAGGAAGCCATAGGACACTACAGAAAATATAAATATACACTGAATAACCAACCAGGCTTCACCTTGAACTAAAAATAACATGAAAACTACACCACGAATATGTTTGCAACTCTCTGGATATTAGAAACACCAGTGAAAGTCTCATTTTAGTAATCCTTTCTCCAGGGACTGGAGTTTGGCAAAATTAAGCTACAATTTTTTGCTGGACTACATATACAGCAAATTTTAATAACATTTACATAATTTCAACATGAATATAGACCCATTTACATAGGTTCAGAGGGCAAACTCACGTGGATTCATCATCTTTTGAGAGCACCCTTAATCCCAGTTGCACCCTTAAACAATAAAATGTAATTAGCTCTGCTGCTTTCAGGAATAGGTTCTTTATTAGGGATGGGGCTAAGTGTCATAATAAGCTGAAAACCAAAACAGCCTAGTTTCAGATGCATTCCATTTCAGAAAAGTGAAATTAAAAACACTGCTTTATAATTTTTCCTATACGATATGTTTTCCAGTAGAGAGTTGGTGTGTAGATTGAGTAAAGCAAGTAAAAAAACAACAACATACTTTATTTTCCAGGATGATCTTTGTACTCTTGACAGATTCTTTACCTTTCCACATAAATGCTCTGCATTCAAAGCATTTAGAGTCTCTCTGCCTTGATGCAATAAAAGAGATTTACAATTATTTTTTAATTGCAGAAGAGCTAAATGAAGTGCGCACTGCTCAGGCAATTTGGTTTTATTACAAAACACAAAGGGGATCCTGACTGAGCTCTACATATTGCAATTAATAATTTCTTTCCCTTTGTTAGGGTCTGGAACAATTAACATTTTTAAAACTTTATTTTTAAACACAACAACGTATGTGTAATTTTAAACCAAATTTTTAAAAATTGCATTTTTTTCCTTCTATTTTTGAATAAGATAAGTTTGCTAATTTCTTTTTATATTCATTGCACCTGGACTACAGAATTTATCCCAGGTTAGCTGAATGTGTTTTTTCCATGGTCCCCCCCCAGTAGCATCAGTACTGTAGTGGCAATGTTACCTGAACGGTATTTTTTGTTACTGTTGTTAATGGTTGGTTCGTAACATATTCAGTGAAGATACACTGTATTACTTACAGATCACTTAAGTTTCAAGGATCTCAAAATAATTAACAAAAATCTCCTCTGTAGAGAACCACCTAGGCTTACTTCCACCATCACTTTTGGTTTGGAACGTGGAAAATGTCAGCACATTCACAGCCCAGGACTGGAACCAGACCCATGAGTTGCAAAGCAACCATCACAAGTCATCTTTGTGGGAAGCAATCCCAAGGTGCCTTCAACCTCAAAGATGTTGTTCCCAAAGATGCTGAATGACAGAAATGGCAATTCCTGAGAATGGCAAACACCTTTTAGATGCAGATTTATTAATTTATCAAGGATAACTTCAAACTAGCATGGAGAAGTCTGTAGGGCAGTATAAAACAGTGATGATCTTGGCAACGTTCTGCTTGTTCCTGATTTTCTGAGGCCAAAATAAGGAAAGAAATCCTTTATGTTACATATCATATGGAACAAACATTGGGTTGTTGTTTGTTCCCCCCCACCCCTTAATGTGTCAGTATTTTCATGTAATACTTGAAAATATGAATGAAACACAGGTATCCCAAAGCTTTTTAACAAAAAAGTATCAATCCTTCTATGTGCTTTTCACTTTTTCTCCCTTATGGTACAATGGGATAGCAGTACTTGATGTTCTAATTCCACAAAAGTGGAATTCAGATGAAAAATGTTCTCAGGCTGAGTGGACACACCTTCTAATCTCACCTCATACGTCAAATTTTTCTTAAATACCTTCAGCTTTTCATAAGTTTTTAGCAGCCTACACTCTTAAGTTTTATAAATACTGTTACAAACGATGTTTCACACTGGTAAGTGAGATCTGATTTTCTGAAGTGGAGAAAACTTTGAAGCTATCATTATTTTCAGGTTAAGATGATTCATAATACTGACAAACACTGCTCATGCAAGTTTGTGAAGGTATCACATTCTCTACTTGACTACTTTCTGTTGTCAGTATCGTGGCACGGAACAACTTCTCAGGTGTCTGACGGAGCACAGCACT